AATTTTGTCTCAATCGGACAAATATTGGAAGTTTGGTGCGTCATTCACATAAAATCGGACGAAAATATATGTGGGAGCTATATCTATATCTAAACCGATTTTCTGCAATTTCAATAGGGTTCGTCCTTTAGCCAAATAAGTGAACTGTGCCAAATTTCATACAAATTGGATCATAAATGCGACCTGTACTTTCTTCACAAAAATACATGAACGGACGGACATGCATAAATCGACTCAGAAAGTGATTCTATGCATATTCTCAAAAGGAACCATGTGTCTATCTCGTTTCCTTTTGCCTCTTACAAACATATGCACAAAGACATAATACCCTGTACCACAGAGTGGTGAAGGGTATAAAAGTAACTTCTGATATTCCTTGTAAAATATTTTTTTTTAAATGCACGCCTGATATTCCCTGGAAAAATATTATTTTAAAAAATTCTGCCTTGATATTTCTTAAAAAAAAAAAACTTTTTAAAAATGCCACCCCAATATGTTTTCAAAATATCCACGATTATATTCTTTAGAAACCCTAACATTTGTATACGACCTTCTCGTAGTCCTTCTAAAAATTATTCTTTAAAATCCACGTCTGTTACAGTCCTTCTAAAGATGATTCTTAAAAAACCTACGCCTCTTATAATCCTTCTAAGAATTATTATTTTCCTATAAAATTTCTAAAAATCAAAGTTTCCTAAAAAAATCAACGCTTCTTATAGCGCTCCTAAAAAATATTTTTAAAAAAACTATCACTCTTATAATCCTAGTAAAAATTATTTAAAAATATTACCGTCTCCGTCTTTCTAATCCTCCTAAAAATCATTCTTAAAGAACCCACACCTCTTAAAGTCCTCCTAAAAATTATTCTTAAAAAAACACGCCTCTTATAATTTTTCTAAATTTATTCTTTAAAAATGCATATCTCTTACACAGCTTCTGAAATTATTCTTTTAAACTTCATGCCTCTTCTAAAAAATTATTCTTAAAAAATCCACGCTTCTTATAGTCCTTATAAAAATTATTTTAAAAAAAATCCTTCAAAAATTATTCTTAAAAATCTTAGGCATTGGTAATTCGTAAAGAATCCTCGCTTCTTAGATTCTTGTCGAGTTTTGTCACTTAACTTTACCATTTTGTTTTATTTCGCTCATGGCGGTGCTATGACAATATTTGCTTTCAAACACTCAATCAATCAATAACTACAACAATGTTAATTCTAATGATATTGTGATATGTATAATGAAATTAAAGCCCCAATTTTTTGATATGTCACTCTGATACGCTAAGAAGCGGTAGCTTTGTTATAGATATTCAATTGTTATTTTTGTTTCTGTTAAATTGTAGCATTTTTCAAGACAAATAAACTTCCTGTTAATCAGTGAAGCTATTATTAAGTTAAATTTTGAAATTGATTATTTTTTTCTTTATAAAGACATTTTATTCAAGAGATTTTTTTGAATACAACAAATAATGATATATGAATACTTTTTTCTGATCCGGTTGATTGGAAATTCCGTAAACATAATAAAGAGAAATATAAAGATCACGGGAAAAATAAAAAAATGCGTGGTTATCGACCTGAACTTTTTGTTATGCCAATGAACTTTTGAATTACATTGAACGAGGTGAACTGTAATGAACTTTAAATGACCTAGAGTTTATGGGAATGATGAAATGGAATTGGAATATATCAGAAACCGATTTACAATAAAGTCAAATTTCAATAACTACACCATTCCCTTTTCCAGTTTATTACTAATGTCACCACTTATAAAAATTTATTAATTGCATATGATTTTTGTGCCACCCAAAACCTTTTCCATATCATAATTATTAGTATTAAAAAAATAGTTGTTATTGATCAAACTACGAAAGCGGCAGCAAATGCAAAAATATTATACAATTGATTTCTTGTTTTAGTCACAGCAGCAGCTCCACCAGCACCACCACCATCATTGCCATCAACCAAAATGAAAGTAAAGTCAAGGTGGTCATAAAATTTTAGGTGTGGTCACCAAATGTCTGTCGTCTAGCCACCAAACAAACGGCCAGTCGCCATCGTCGTCTTAGTAATAATAATAATAGTGGTCATAGTTAATGTAAAGTTTTATTTTATTTGCAATTAAACATTATTTCCATGTTGGAGATACCAAAAACAACATGAACAAAAAAGTGGTCCATATTATGTGGCCCATATGACAGTGGTTCTAAAACTCAAATTAAAAATGACTACTATTACATAAATTGTTTTAATTCATATTTTCATAATTTTTAATTAAATATTTAATAGTAAACCACTGTCCATATTGAAACCCAAATAGCCATTAAGTTTAAATGAATAGGTGGTACCTAAACATGCAAATGAACTTCTGAGTGTTTGATATACATACATATTTGCAGCTGCCCCACTCACAAGGCCTTCAAAAAGGAGTTAAGAAAACTTGAAATTAAATTGCTCTCGTAATCAAGGGTTTTTAAAAAGTATGGGATAAGAAAATAGTTTCTAAAATGTCCTCGTTTTTTACAATCCACCTAAAAATTTGCAAAGAAGTAATCAAAACTTCCCAAAGTCCACTTATAATTCTAAACAAATAAAAATTTTCCGTTTTTCTAAATTCCTCGTCCTTTTAAAAATAATTTTTATTTAATCCCAGATTCTCAAAGTATCTCTACAAATGATTCTTTAAAAATCCACGCTTTTTGGATTTGTACGGAATAATTGTTAGAGGAACTATAACCTCTAACAATTATTCCGTTAAAATCCACGCTTCTTATAGTCCCTCAAAAAATTATTCTTTAATAATCCACGCTTCTTATAGTCGCTCTAAAGTTATTCTTTAAAACTCCACGCATCTTATATTCCCTCTAAAAATTATACTTTAAAAATCCACGCTTCTTATAGTCCCACTAAACATCCACGCTTCTTATATACCCTCTAAAAAGTATTCTTTAAAAATTCACGCTTCTTATATACCATCTAAAAATTATTCGTTAAAAAATCCTCGCTTCTTAATTATTCTTTAAAAATCCTCGCCTCTTATCTTCTTCTTAGCTGGCTTGTGACAGAACTTTCATTCCATAAGCCGAGCTCACAACATGGCCTAGCCAACATAGTCGCTGCAGCTCAATACGTCTAACAATGTCGATGTCCGAGAAAAGCTGGTACAACTCATGGTTCATTCGACGCCGATATTCACCGTCAACGCAGATCGACCCATAAATCTCTCGGAAATTTTTTCTCTCTCATCTGCTTGCGCAAGTAACCATGCTTCAGATCCATATCCAACATGGGTAGTATCAGCGTCTTGTAGAGTGTGAGTTTGGTCTGGTGGGAGGTGGACTTGCTTCTAAACTGTTGGCTTAGACCATAGTAGCATCTGTTGATCATTGCTATCCTTCTCCGAATTTTAAAAATGATGTCAATCGTTTTATTTATGGCGGTACCAAGGTATATAAAATCTTTGACTACTTCGAAGCTGTAGTTCTCAAGTTCCACAGTTGGTTCGAGCCTACAGGACCTCTTGCGTGTTGATACCATCAGCTTCGTCTTTTCGCCATTTACTGCCATACCCACTTTGCCAGACTCGTTTTCAATTTGTTCAAATGTGGCTGTTACCGCTCGCAATATTCGACCCATTATATCGATGCCATCGGAGTAGGCGAGTAGCATGTGTTGTTTGGTGTACAGAGTGCCATTTCTCTTCGCCTTTGCGTCTCGTCACACGACAAACTGTCACCTTGTTTGAATCTTCGTAAGCTATTGAATGGCTCCGATAGGTCCTTTCCGAATTTTAACTGCTGACCTTGTGCAACTTAAAGTTATCCTGCATAGCCGTATTAATTTTGCAGGAATGCCGAACGCAGACATGGTTTTAAACACCTCTGATAGGGATAGGGCTATCGAATGCGACTTTATAGTCGATTAATAAGTGGAATGTGTCGATGTGTTTTTCGTGGGTCTTTTCCAGGATTTGGCGCAGAGTGAAAATCTGGTCAATGGTGGATTTGCCAGGACTGAAGCCGCATTGGTATGGTCCAATAATGCCATTGACTTCAGTCGTTCACACAGCACACTGGATAGCATTTTTATATGCGATGGGAAGGAGACTTATTCCTCTATAGTTGTCTTCTTTTTTGTCCATATTCTTAAACTACATATAATATAACCCTATAACTAATATATGGCTAACTCCAGTTTTTTTATTGTTGTTGTTATGGTTTTTTGTTTCTTTAAACAATAGCAAAATATGAACAAATTATATGAAATTAATATTAATTAGCACTAGAAGTTGCACACACACAAAAAACAAAATCGATTCTATTCAATACTAGTTATTGGCTTAATGTTCGCTGTCAACTAATAAAGCAATTTGTACGAATATTTATTTATTGAAGAAAAAAGGCTTGCATAAAGGGTGTGTTGTTAACTTTCGATATTTGCCAAGATAATACAAAAAAGCATTGTTCATTGTGGTTCATAATGGGTGATGGTGGTGGTATACATGGGGGCTATGGCAAAACAATTCATTAAAAAACAGTTAAAATCAGGGCATGCATGCTAACACCACACATACACACATATGATGTACAATGGACAATGTTTTAATAAAGTAATTGAAAATACTAAAAACTAATCTTTTTGTTCAACTTGCCTGCAGGTATCACGTTCTAGCTTTTTATTCTATTAATACAACACAGCCGATTCTCTTTAGTTTAATTTTATTTTTTATACAAAAAAGGAAAATAAATTGAGACTAAATATAAATGATTTTTTTTTTGTTTACACACTAAATATTACTAAATTGCTGAGGGGGGTGTACAAATCCATTTTTGGGAAATTAGCAAAAATAATTAAGATAACTATTTCGGGATTTTGTATTTCTTGCTACTTTCCATAAATAACATTCTTTTTCGTTTTTCTCTTCTTTGTAAAACAATAAATACAAATGTTGTTTTAATTAGCATTTTGTTTTGTAAAAAAAGACACATTTTGTTTTGTATTTTAAACTATGAAATAAATTCAAAATCATCATCGGACCCGGCATATTCATCACAGCAATTACGTGGCCTTAGCTCCTCTGAAGTGTGATTTAGTTTTTCGAAATCTATAAAACAAAACAAAAGGAATATATTAGAAATTATTTTTTCCCATAACAATAACGCATTGAATTTTGTAATCACAAATCAAATAATTAAAACAAAAGTTCAACAAAAACCTTCTGTATCACCACAACTTATAGTTCGTCTTGTTAGCAAACTATAACTTGTCAAATCATCAGAGTTGTTGTTGCTGTTGTAACAACCAATTGTTTGAAAGCTTTGCAAGGAGCTTGTATTCATTTCACTCGAATTTGAGATTTCTTCAAAGGATGTGTAACAATGGTCACTACTTTGATCTCCTTTAAAGTTGTTGGTGTTATTTGTTGTTGTTGTAGTATTTATACAGGGATATGTATGATATGTTCTACTTGTGTCGATAGAATTGGTAGTAGAAGATGTAAGATTGTAAGGCATAGTAGTATTGTTGGTAGTACCTGGCATACTTGATACCCATTCGGGTGATCTCGTTTTAATAATTTCAAATAATGGCTGAGTACTTGCTGTCAGAACTTTTGTTTTCAAATCCTCCAGCAGTATGTCGAATGATATACGCGTTTTACATAGGAAACACTGAAAAGAAAGAGAGAGAGAGACAAAAATATTAAATTATCCTTGGAAAAAAAATTAAAAAAACCACGTTTCTTATAGTCATTCAAAAAAATTATTTTTAAAAAATTCACTCTTCTTACAGGGTGACGTAGGGGATGATAGATACCAAGCAACGGCTTTGATTGGCTTTAACATGGCAAAGTCCAGGCTTATCTTGGATCCTCTTTCATCTCAATTGTGGACACTTACCTCCCCGCGGTGTCACCTGGTTAGCCATCACCCGTTGAAATAGTGAACTAATATCTGCCGCGAGAACTATAAAAAATTGGGTTGAGGCGTCGGATTAGTTGCCCACACTCGGAAAACCCCTCCTACTATGAAAAAACAAAGAAAAAGAAAACCAAACCCCCCAAATGTTGACGACCCCCGCAAACTTATAAAGGACCACGATTTGCGAAGTCCTTCTACATCAGTCTTATTTGCGCCCATGATCCGACCGAAGACAGATGAGCAGACCAAAGACATATTTTATGAGCGCCTAGAAACAGCATATGATCGCTGCCCTGGCCATGACATTTAAATTCTACCTTGAATAAAACCAATGACATCAGTTTTGAAATTCAGCGAAGGATAGCAATGGCCAACAGATGCTACTATGGTCTAAGTAAGCAGTTTAGAAACAAGGTTACCTCCCGCCAGATGAGACGGCTCTTGGAGTGCTTGAGAGAAAAATTCTCCGAAAGATCTATCTGCGTTGACGGTGAATATCGCCGTCGAATGAACCATGAGTTGTACCAGCTATTCTCGGACATCTACATTGATAGACGTATTGAGATGCAGCGACTACGTTGTCTAGGTAATATGAGAATGGATGAAGATGCCCCAGTCTAGAAGTCATATAAAAGCGAACCAGCTGATGGTTCACGCACAAGGAGAAGGCCACGAATACCATGGAAAGACCAAATGGAGGACATCATTGCCGACTATGGTGTTTCAAATTGGAAAAACTGCGCAAAATACCGACGCACCTGGAAATCTTTTTTTAAGTTCGGCTTATGGAACGAAAGTTCTGTCACAAGCCAGCTAAGTAAGTCTATTGTCCTTGAAAAAAATATGTTTTAAAAAATCCACTCACCACCGCCAATGATGGATCCATTTGTGTAAACGGTATTCGTCCAGCATATTTCTGATGAAATGTTGCATCAAATTCAATTTCATCTTGGGTGGTTTTTTGGCCCACCGAACCACATCTTTGTGTTGTGTGAGGATCCAAAAATAATACCTCATCATCGACATAGCCCATAAAATATAATGCCTGATTTGGACGGCCACCAATCATGCCGCAAAAACCAACCAATTCAAAACATTTCTTCAAAGCTGGTATATAAATCGGATTGATGTCGCTTAGACCCAAACGCAAAGGGATAATAAGAAGCAGTGGCTTCCAGGATTCATCATTTTGGGGATTTTCCAAGCAAAGGGACACTGTAAACAAGAGGAGAGTTTGTAATTAAATCATAGAAAATTAAAATGTATATAACTTACTGATTTCATCGCAGACAATTGACATATCCATTGCCACATGTATCATTAGACTACACCAATCATCATAACGCACTAGTTTCCTGGAAAAAATTAATTAAATATTAAAAGGAAACATTTTTATGTGGAAAAAAAAAAATACTCACTTCAAAACCTGTGCCACTGTATTCGGGCCAAACCACTGGCCCACCTTCTTATCCTCCGAATCTCCCATTAAGGCAATTTGATGTATGGAAAAATAACTTTTCCTTGAGTCTTCAAAACGATTTACGATTTTCAAATATGTCTGATCCCGGGTCTCGGGTGTCCAGAACCAATCACGACCCAAATGCAAATCAATCAATGCCTGAGCCAATACCATTTGACCACAACGCAATGTACAACCCCAACCTTTATCTGTCGTCAGCTGGGGTTCCCCAAGTGGCACAAATCCCCTCCGATATGTACACCACAAACGTGATTGAACATCACGACGTATCAATTCCAATTCTTGTATGGCATTATAACTTTTACCCAATATCCAAACCGTGGTATTTACATTGGGTATATCATCGGGCTCACCCGTTGCTCCTGCGACTGCACCCACCACCGCCCCTGCCAAAACACCATCCGGACCTAAATATGTCTCAAAAACACTATCCATTTTACGTGATACATTGGTGTACAAATCAATGAAACGATCGATGTTTGCAATGCACTTCAGACGCAGATAATAGATACGGGGGCTTTGACGATATAATTCGACAGGATGTTGTCCCAACCAAGGTATGGAAGCCACTATATGTATTAATATAATGAAAGCAGCGGTAATAGCAAATGTTTGCAGCAATCCAATAGCCCAATAGCTGGTAGTGTCCAAGAATATTGACCAACCAGCGGACCAAAAGGATGCAGTGCTTTCCAAAGCCAATTTGCCAAATGTTTTCTTAACTGAAATATGAGAGGTGAGAAGAGGGGTCATTTTTATTGGAATTTTTAATAGTTGGAGAGAACTTACCACAACCAGTGTTTCTTTAATTTGTACAAGTGTTCAGCAAAATAGAATTCTTTTACTTGAATGGGAGACAAATTGAATCTGCAAAATAAATAAAAAAGATCAAGAATGCGTTTTAAACGATAAAGAAAGACTTGAAATGTTAGGTTAGGTTTGGGGATGTGCAGTTACTTATGTGGCTGCAGCACTCTGAGACCGTTAGGTCCGTTGTGATCATCCACGAGAAGAAAAGAGATAAGGAGAGATCTATAAGAGAGATGAGAAGAATATACGTTTGGAATAATGTCGATGGCTATAGATATCGGACAGAAGATATATTACGTGTCAAGGTTGCACTTTCCCAACCACTATAGGTTTCTAATTATGCTGTAGATTAGAGCAGGTTCAGATGTTGAGAAAAAAACTAAGACTCGGTGGAAAATTAGCACCCACTAGCCTTGCATAATGATTCCAATTACTAGTAAAGGCCCTGATATTGCTATAACCAGTAATGATTCCTGTCATTACTCTTATTTCAGCTTTGCTCAGGTTCAACAGTGTGTGTGTCCTTTTGGTAGACAGAGTCGACCAAATAGATCTTGAAACATTGCACCTAGGTTCTTTGTGGCGTTCTTTCGTCGAAGAACGCCTCAAAGATCCGATAAAGATGGCATATGGCTGGTTTGATTCATCAATTGGTAGATGTGTGGATTGAGATCCTCGCCTAGCTAATTCGTCTGCTCTTTCATTTCCCAATGATGTCACGATGTCCTGGTACCCAACACAGCCGATGGCTGTAAGTAATTTCTTCCAAAGTTGTTCTGCACTTGAGGACGCCTCAGATTTGATCGCATTAACAACCGCTAGTCACCGGTTCAACGACCTCTGCATCCAGTATTTTTATCAATTCCGCTGCCTTCCAAATCGCGAAGATTTCAGCTTGGAAAACACTACAGTTGCAATACAGCTTGTAGGTTAACTCAAGGCCCAGCCTTCCACAGTAAACGCCAGCCCCTGTAACTTCTTCCATCTTGGATCCGTCTGTATAGAAAGCCAGACCGTCCAAAGGAGGGTTACTCCGGTTCCAGTCGTCTCTACTAGGAATAACGACATCTACATCAAATCTCAAGACTGGTGATATATAGTCGCTTAATTTTACGCGTTGATCCAATGTCATACCTGGTTCCTTAAATATACAACCATGTCCAAAGGTACAACTTGGCCAGATGTTTTGTTCATGCAGCCTTAGGGCGCTACGTGCGGCCTGACACTTAATGCTGAGGCCCAGAGGCTTTAATTCAGCATTGCGTTCAGAGTTGCTGTGGCGTGCTCCTCATGGCTCCTGTTATTGAAATCGAGGCGACTCTTTGTACCTTATCTAATTTGCTGGATGACGACTTGTGGCGCAGGCAGTTCCGTTGGTTTTAGCCCCCAGCTTTTCCCAATGGAGTTCTTGCATGCATAGAGTGCAATCAGCCCTCTCTTCGCCCATTCCTCAGCGTACCTATTCAGTCGTAATTGACAGTCCAGGATTGTGCCTAGGTACTTTGCTTCGGGTTATAGATACAACCTCGTGCAGTGCAGATTCTACAGACTTGACCTTTATGTTTGCGTGGTGTGAGTTGCTAATAGAGGTGGTGTCTATACGACTCCTGATCTCCAAGTCGATCAGTCTTTCGAGAGTCTTGAGGAGAAAGGATGATAGGCTAATGGGGGTCTATAGTCCTTTGGTGCAGTGTGGCTTGGTTTCCCCGTTTTGGGAATGTAAGTAACCTTTACCTCGTTCCATAGATCCGGAACATACGAGAGAGTCAAACACGCCATATAGATCCTATCAAGGATCAGATATATACTTAGCAAGGCAAATTGAAACATTGCCAGTGTGATTCTATCTGGTCCTGGCGATTTATATGCTTTGAATGTATTGACTGTCTAGCTATCTTATTTCTGTTAACTGAAATACAAATCTAGAATCTATCTTTGCAACCAGGGAAATGAGTATCAGCTAGGAGATTAAGAGTCTCAGAAACAGAGTCCGTCCACGCTCCATCTTGTTTCTTGATACTCCTGATGGATTTTGGACCTTGGATAGTAATCTTCGAAACGTCGTTGACATTTTCTTTGCACGCATAATCTCACTCTTGTATTTTTTGAAACAAGCTCTATAGGAGATTCAGTCAATATCGAGTTTTGATTTATGCGCCCTGTTGTACAGACGTCTGGTCGCTTTCCCGGGGTATGTGAACGGACAGGATTCCTTATGGCATCTGAGAAGGGCGTGCGTTAGATTGTTCACGTCACCATTGTTCCTAAGTTTGTATTAAGAGTCAGCTGGGAGTTCGTTAGATACGCGAATTTGGATTTTTATAAGGCTTTTGTTTACCTCCGTCAAAAGAGACCTCGAAGAAAATCTTCAAATGATCCGAAAAGGAACATTCATCAGATACCCTCTATTGCTGATGGCAGAGTCATCAAAATTTGTGAGGGTTAAGTTTTAAACCGTAAGTTTTATCCACAAATCTTCCTACAAAAATTTATCAATATTGTTTAAATTTTTACGATAGCCCTAATAAACCCGTTTTCGGTATTTTGAGAAAGAACTATGGACCCGTTGTCTACATGAATTGACTGTAATTTCGTTCTCATTTTTTTTTTGTAGTTATTGTAATTAGAGATTAGAGAACTTTACACCCCCAAGGGATTATACATATTTTTTTACTATTAATATAAATAAAACATATGATTAATATAATCTAATCTTTGATAATTTTATTTGTTTTTTGAATAAAGTAATATTTCCTAATCTTCACATTTATTTGTCATAGTGACGTCATTGCTCAACACCTCAAACATATTAACAAATAATACATTAATTTCTTATATAATATTCATATAAATATTTAAAAAAAATACGCAACAAATTTTAAAAACGCAAATCAATTCAATTTTATATCCTTCTTAATGTGCCATTATAAAAACAAACAAAAATACGTTTCGATACGATAAACATGCAATCACAAATCAAAATATTTAAACCGCTATTTATATGATGAGTTAAATAATGATACACTTTAAATCAAGGTATAGCTGTATAGAATATAATAACAATAATTGAATTACAATTAAAAAAAAAACAATTATTTTTATTAAAATTTTAAAACCCTACTTTCAACGGCCACACTATTCCCCAAATCCCATCTGTAATAATTTCTCTTTATCTAACACGCACTTGCTTGCACTCTTCTGTTCCCCTTAAACGCTCCCTCTTTCTCACACTCTTTGTTATTTCTCAAATGCACCATGTTTACATTCTCTTAGCTCCCTTTGAAAAATGTTTGAAATGTCATCATCGAAAACAACAACAACAACGTCGTCGACAAACAACGACGACGACGAAAAAACTACACACAACACAAAAACTTTGTATTTTTCACATCTTCACCTTTCGATATCGGCCGAAAATTTTATTTTTTCACAAAATCTGCTTAGTTGGCAGTGTTTTAAAATAATTTCTATAGGATTTAGAATATTTTTAACTGGTTTAATTATTGAAAGAAAACTTTACAAATCGTGACCGTCGTAAGCAAAACAAAAGAACACACAACAACAACGAGACTTGCAATGAATAGGGATGTTCACAAAGAACCAGGTATTGCCAGATGTTCGCATTGGGAATTCTTTCGATATGGGTAACCAATTAAAACAAATTGTTCAAATAACCGATTTGGATGTATTCAAATGTGATTGATTTTATTTAATAATAATAATTATGTTCATTGTATTATATTTAATTGAAAATGTATAAAATCACATCGGGAATATAATATAAATATTAAAAATTGGCAATTATATTATTGAAAATACAACTGAAGTATTTAATAGTAAACACTTATAATTATAATAAAAGTATTTACAAATACACATAATCTAGGCTAAAATATACAAGCTTTAAAATATTTGAAATATATTTAAAAGTTTTCAATAAATAGCCCCGATAATGGTTTTGTTTACAGTTCAAACCAAAATTTTTTTTAAAATATCCCAGTTTCGGCATTTAAAAAATATTTTTAAAAAATCGTGTATTATTGGGCTTTTCAATATATTCTTAAAGAATTCACGATTTATTGTATAATCGGATCTTCCAAAAATATTCAAAAGAATGACATTATTTATGACCCAAAAAGTTCTTTCAAAAATATTCTTAAAAATACAAGCTCATGATTGAAAATATAATATTGGCTTATTTGGCGCAGTCCTTCTAACAGAACACCAAAAATGACCAAATAAATTTATAAAAAGTATTTTAAAAGTTCTATACATATGATTTTCAAAACAAAATCTAGAAACAGAAACCAGTGAGCGGAGTAGTATAGTCGGACGGATGCGACCTACACAACTACCACTGAAGTCGAAATATGACGATCGATATACTTAAAGGTCTAGGACCAATATTTCGTGGCGTTACAAACTTTTGGGGCTGCACAAAGCTACAATACCCTGGCAGTATAATTGTATAGGGTATAAAAAGTCTATGAATTATTTTTTTAATAATCTTCTAAGCTAAGTAAGTAGCTATTGACAGAACACGTTCACCTTCTGTGTGAACCGCCAGATAGCTCGCTTTTAAGCTGGGGCATCCTCATATATTCTCACATGACCTAGCCAACGTAGTCGCTGCAGCTCGATACGTCTTTCGGAGAAATTTTCACTTAAACACTTCAAGAGCTGTCCCATCTGCTTGCGCAAATTCCCATACTTCAGGCATTGTTTCTAAATTGCTTACATAGACCATAGTAGGCCAACCCTATTCTCCTCCAAATTTCAAAATTGATGTCATTAGTTTTATATATGGCGGTACCAAGGTATATAAAATCTTTGACAACCTCGAAGCTGTAGTTCTCAATTTTCACATTTAGTCCGAGTACTGGACGTCTTCTTGCCATTTTCTGCCAGATCCACTTTGGCTGACTCCTTTTCTATTTGTTCAAAGGTGGCTATTATCCCTCGCAATGTTCTACCCATTATGTTGATGCCATCGACGTAGGCGAGTATGTTACTCGCCTACGTCGATTGTTTAGTGTACAGAGTGTTGTTTCTGTTCACCTTTGCATCTGGTATGAAATTTTCCAGGTGGATGTGAAAAAGTACCATGACAAACTGTCACCTTGTCTGAATCCTCTTTCGGTATTAAAGGGCTCCTAGAGATCCTTTCCTACATTAACTGCCGAATTAATTATCCTGCATAGCCGTATTCATTTTGCAGAAATGCTGAACGCTGACATGGCTTTAAACACCTCTGAACGGAATGCAGCTTTAGATTCAAATAGGTGGAATGTGTCCATGTGTTTTTCGTGGCTCTTTTTCAAGATTTGGCGCAAAATGAAAAATCTGTTCAATGATGGATTTACCAGGCCTGAAGCCGCATTGGTATGGTCCAATAATGTCATTGACCATTGGCTTCAGTCATTCACACAGTACGCTGGATAGCACTGACCCCGCCCAACTGTAAAATGCGGCAAACAGTCGTAATTCATTCGTTTCCCCAGATATGAAAATAAAACCTGTACCATAAAAATCCTTCAAAAATATATTTATTATTAATAATAATCTGAATATATTTTAATGCTAGCTGGATGTGTGAACAGGCCTCTTAGTATAAATTAAACAATATTAGCAACACATGTGATCTGGCAACACCAACGGTTTTCCGTATTTTGTTTTGTCTACACATTCATAATAAATAATACTTGTATCCACATGTTCTCACTTCCTGGGGATACATGGGCTAAATTGAATAAAATTTTATTTAAAATCGTTTAAATTATTAATAATAATGGGAGTACGTGGTCTGACTGGCTTTATAGCCCGCAATGCTGAGAAATATTTGACACCCTACGAGCTGCATGACACCAATTTGTTAATCGATGGTGATAACTTGGCCTGCAATTTGTATAAAGATGCTACGGGTATTAATTCGGCCTTTGGAGGCGACTATGATAATTTCTATCGGGCAGTGGTGAACTTCTTTGTGGTGTTGGCCGAATGCAACATCAAACCCTATGTCCTGATGGACGGGGGCTATGAACAACGTAAATTGCGTACGGTGGGTAAACGTATGCGCGGTAAGATATCGGTTATAAAACGTATAAATCCCAATGCTTCCATTACGGTGTTCCCGCTAATGATGAAGGAGGTGTTTGTCGATGCTGTAAGGGATTGTAATGTACCGGTGATGCGTTGTGTTTTTGAGGCCGATGATGAATTGGCCGCCTTGGGAAGGAAACTTAATTGTCCAGTGTTGAGTTATGATTCCGATTTCTATATCCATAATGTAAGATATATCCCCCTGATCACATTGACTGTGAAGACCCATACAAAAACCTATAAAGAAAAGGAGGATGAGGATGGGGATTCCGAAAGAAAATTGCGTAAAACTGAGGCGAAGAAATTGGATAAACGTACAAGGAATAATCGTGTAATGGATACGATTGTTGTGGACAACAAGGAGAGGAAGCAGCGCAAGGGGAAATCGTATAAATACTTGGACTGCTGTATGTATCGTGTGGAGAATCTAATTGCCCGTGGATCATTGAGTAAAGAAAAATTGCCCTTGTTTGCTGCCCTCTTGGGTAATGATTATATATCGCGATCGGCATTTAAAAATTTCTATATGTCGGGTATGGTGAAAATTGGTCGAGGCCGTAAACCAAATCATCAGCAGAGGCGTATACGTCTCATACTCAAATGGCTGAAAGATGAAACTTCCGAATCGGCAATGAATAAAATTATGTCACGATTACAAAAGGTAGGGGTGAGTGCACACAAACCCATATTTAAATATTAATACGATTTCTTCTTTTCAGAATCAAAGACAATCTTTAATGGCCCAAGTGGAAGCAGCCATAAGTGGTTATTCCAATGAGCAGTGCCGTTCATATGATTTTTTCAAGAACCATTATGAACATGTCTTTGAAGACTTTATGGAGGGCAATGAAGATGACGTGGAGGACAGTGAAGATGATTCAAATTATGAATTGGAGGAGGAAGACGATGAAGATTATACAGAAGAGGAGGAAGAAGAAAATGACAATGAAGAAACCACTGCAATTGTGGACAATGAAGAAGAAGTGTCCGAAATTGTGGAGGCCACTGAAGAGAAATCCGAAAATTCCGAGGAATCGTCAGAATCCGATGATGATGGGGAGGAGAACGGAGAACAAGATGATACAAATGATATAATTTCCAAATTTCCCCAATGGTTCCTAGACAAATTATATCCCGCCAATTTACCGCGATTTTTCGTAGATCTAATGCATCTACGTAAATATATAAATAATCCACAAATTGAACATTATCCCTATAATGATTGCAATGAAATTGCCGTGCCAATATTAACTCTGATATACTCCCTGCTAAATAATGTCAAAGGCGAGGAATTTGAGGAGAGAGTCAATGAAGATGGCAGCATAAGGCATTTGTTTTATACCTACTTGACCAGAGCTACTAGAGTAACGAATATACAATATGTTCATGTGGAAATTAAGGAGAAACCAAAATATGAATTTGTACCGGAGAACCCCAATCCATTACTGTTCCAAACAGTTTTCGAACAAAAAATGCCAGAATTACAAAGTGCTGTACTGTTCCAGGAAATTGAAAAATTGCCCGAAGATTTACGGTTATATTTCCTGGCAATTGTCTATTGGATGCACAAGTCCCAACATTGTGATTTAATACACCTACACGCTTTAATAGTATGTTTGGTGGTACTAAGGACCATCGATTCAAAAATACCACCCGAACGAGACATCAAAACTTTCAACAAACGTTTCGGTAAAATATTAAAAAAAGAACGGCAAGTACGAGATAAAGAAGCTGCCGAGGGCATAAAACGTACCATACGAGATGATTTGAAAACTCTTCCCATACCCGAACGTATACAATTTATACCGAAATCCGATTGTTATCTCGTACAAAATGAACTGCTAAAACATTTTCACATGCAGGAGTTATTCAAAAAGAAATATGATTTATTTTCAAGTACGGTATTGCATGCCTTTGCCGAGTTGCAATCTGTTGTCTTCCAATTACACTCACTCAGTGCATTACTGGCATTTCCCTATCAAGCACCACAAATGTGTCAACTCTATTGTGGTACATTTCTGTACAACCTTTACGATTTGTTTCGCAATCGTTTAGATATTGAATATTATATTCGTAATTTCATATTTAAAGATTCACAAATGATGTTTGATTTCTATAAATTTTTATGGCAATGGTGTGAGCAGTTTATACCCACATGGAAGCGTACGGCGGAACAGCAATCAACGAAATCGGTTAATAAGAAAATCGCCAAAAAGAAACGTCAATTGGAAAGAAAGAAAGCTGCACAAGAAGTAGCTGAAACGGTTGATCCTTATGCAGATATGCTAAGTAGTACGGGAGAAGGTGAAGATGAATTCATCGATTTAAATAATAAATTTTGTACAATGTTAAAAGTTAGCTAGTAATTCATAGAATGAATTTTACTTTTGTACTATTGTTAAGGAAGTTCACACAAGTTTTTATTAATTTTATAATAAAAATTAAGAAAATAAATGAATAAAAATTATTTTATATTATCTTATAATTTGAATAATATCCGAGAACAATACACCTCCTTAATAGAAAAATATGAAATGTGAGAAATCTGCATCGCTTATATGGACTTCCTTTTTCAATGAGAAAAATTTGAATTGATCTCAACCTTCTGTCAATGGTATACTTCTTAAAGGTCCTGCATAAACATTGGCCTCGGAAATGTATTGCTTCCGAATGAAACAGTACTTTTTGAACAAAGTGTTGAATCTACATCCTTCTGAAATTTCAGAAAATGATTTGTTTCGATTCAAACCACTTAAGCTACCAAGGTAAATAAATACGATTCCCATTCCTATTGGACAAGATTAATGGATAGGCTTGGAAACAGAAAAACTAAATATATTACAGTTGCTACAATAACAACTGACCATTGAATTGAAAAGTATTTATATTAACGGTTATCATTACCTCGATAGACGTCATACGTTACGCTCCTAAAATAGATATTCAAACACAAGTAGTCGATATTCATTTGCCGCCATGTTTTCTCAAACAACTGTTTTGAGAGAGAGAAAAATGAGAGCAGTTGACTTGAAAAAACACAAAGGCACACAATATATATTTTACGCCGGTAACGTGTAGACGGCTGATGAATCCATTTATCTTACCTATAAATATGGTCCTTCAACTCAATTTTATATCAGGGTTCAACAGAAAAAAGGACCCAACATTTTTAATACTTCTGTAAGAGATTGTACAAATTGTAAACTCTCAAAATGATTTTTCCCAGGACACTATAGGACCTAATAGCAATGACATTCCGCATAAATAAACTAAGAATTATTATACCCTATACAACTATGGCGGTAAGGCCGCGAAGTTTTGGTCCTAGACCCACCTTTTAATATACGGCCAGAATAATGACTCGAACATCAGGAAATTTACATAGAGAAAGGGGTCTAACCATAGAATAATCTCAATATTTTTTTGATGAAGATCAGTAAATATTTAGCGGGTCAAATAGACACCAAAACAACTAAATATGAAGCTCAGGATGTATACGTGGAATTTAATAATTTTCAAATTCAAGTCCAACATTAGGCTGGACCTTGGTATGGTAAGAACTTATTTATTATTCACCAGAAATCCGAAATACAATAGAATGCAATAATGTGGCCTCAGGATGTATACGTTTATGAAGTAGAATTTAATATTTTGCAAATTGAATTACAAAATTAAGCGGGATCTTTGTAAGGGGATATCATCAAAAAACACAGCCCAATACGTCCAAAGGTGTTTAAAGCCATGTTTGCGTTCGACATTCCTGAAAAATTAATAGGGCTATGCAGGATAACTTTTACTGGCACAGGCTTAACAGTTAAAGTCGGAAAGGATCGCTCGGAGCACTTCCATACCGAAGAGGCTTCAGACAAGGTGACAACCTCTCGTGTGACCTTTTTGACATCCTGCTGGAAAAGGTGAAATAAAATGGCACTCTGTATAGCAAACACGATTTCTTACTCGCCTATGCCGATGACATCGACATAATGGGTCGGTAACAGCCACCTTTGAACAAATTGAGAAAGAGTCTGCAAAACTATGTTGTTAAGCCAATTTTATCTTTTCAGTTGAACGGGTGTTAATAAAAATTTCGAATTTTGGGTTCTGATAACTAAAGAGAGCCCTAAAGTCCAGAAAAAAATCACTGTTTGGGGCGTTCTTTGGTCCGAAGATGTGATGGGACCTTACATCTTCGAAAACGACGGTAGAACGGCTGTCACCGTAAATTCGGAGCTTTATTCGCATACGATAATCGACTTTTATACCTGCTATAGGTCTCGAAGAGGGTGCCACACGACTCGAGCGAATATGGCATTATTGCTAGAGATATTTTTCGACCGCGTAATTTCTTGTCGTGGTGATATCAACTCAAATTTTTCTCTATGATATCGAAAAAATAGTAAAAATTAGAAAATTCTTGCAGTGCGGAAACAGATAAAATTTAAGACAAACGAATTTTTGGACTTTTTGTAATATGAACCAACATTTCGTGCGATCATATAGTCATTCTATATTTCTGTCATTCTATATTTTATGATTTTTGTTGTTGTGGAAATTAAATTATGAATATTTATTAGTTTTAATCCCCATGAATCATATTTATATATCACAATTCTTTCCAAAAAATATATACATATCTCATTTAAAGCCGTTATAACTTATCGAAAACGACGGCATGCGATGTTTTCCTTGCTAACGCCGTTAACATTGACGGCAGACAATTTGTTTATCGACTGCGACATGTGTTTCTGTTTGACACCACACCAGCCATCATATTGTGAGTAACGAACGAGAGAGAACGGGTATACAACGGACGGATGACAGTTTCTCAATATTTAGTGTGTGTGAAATAAGGGCGAATGAAATCAATATTGCTTGAAGAAAAAAAATTAAGAAAAACTAAATAATATTCAACTAAGAATTAAGAAAAACAAGTGCCTTCTAGTTAATATTCTGGCCAAAAACGGAAATAAACAAACCAGTGAGAGTGCGGTAAATAAAAAAAAAGAAAAAAATAAAATCAAGAAAAACCAACCAACCGGACGAAGCAAAACGAATGAAATATTTTGGCCAGCAGCAGTAACAGCCACCAAAAGCAAATGAAAAAGAAAAATACTAAAATTTAATGCAGCAAGTGTGGCAATAAAATAACAAAATAGAGGAAAAAATAAAAAAAAAAACAAGTGAAACTGCAAGACTTGCCTTTATCGAGCAGTGATTATCTTAGTTTATTTTGGAAATAAAAACAAAGTGCAAAAAATTCCCGTTCATTTCGTAGAGAGAATATTTTTTTTTGGTGGTGGTGTGGTACGTTTCTTAAGATTTCCATCTACGATTTACTTCTCTTGCTTTATTTCTTTGCCGTTTATTCCGTCTTCATTCATACCAAAACGTAACGCCAACGAACCAAGCAACCAACCAACCAGCCAGTCAACCAACCATCACAAGAACAACAGCAACAACAAAAACCAAAACGAAGAAAACAACAACAGCAACCAACCAACCTAAACAGTGTTTAAATTTGTGTGCGAGTGTATGTTTATATGCGTGTATGTAATAAATAGAGAAAAATATGTGAAATAGAAATAAAACAAAAATAATTAATAAAAAAATTGTAAATTAAAAAAATACTTAAATAAAAAAATACTTAATAAAAAATCCATTAAACTCCAAATAAAACAAAACAACGTTGAAATTGTCAAAACTTGACAAAAAATCGTGTGTTTTTCCTTTACATTTCTATTTTGTGTACACCAACCAATACTAAGGCAAATTAAACGTAAAGTCGGAAGAAGAAGAAGCAGCAGCAGTATTGTGAAGAAGCATAAAATAAGTGTGTGTATTTGTTTACTTGGTGTCTTCTCACATCCCATTCAAGAAATCATCATCAAAACGTAGAAACAAATTTGATATCAAACGAAAGAAAAACATACAGCAAAAACAACAACAACAACTACAAACATATACAGTTAAAACAACAATTGCTCAAACATCTCCATTGACAGTGCTATCTGTCTGTCTGCTGTATTGTGGTGCGTCTGTCATTTGAAGTCTATTTTTTTTGTTGTTGGAGATTTTTCTTGTAATTCATCTTTTGTTGGTAACTACTGAGTGAGTGAGTGTTGCATGGGGAGCCATTGAGCCCTCTCCAATCAAACGTCAAATTCTCCAAAGCAAAAATAACAACAAACGAAAGAAAGTAAATGCAAGAAATAACAAAACTGCCAAACATCGTGTGTGTTATAATCTCAAACTCTCGGCTGTGCCAATTGTAATCAAAAACACTCTCTCTCGGTTATTTGCAAATCTCCTCCTCATTCGAGGAGATTTTGTAATTCTCATTGAATTTTTGTTGTTGTATATCGGGCTTTTTTTGTTTTTGCAAATTGGAGATTTCTTTGCCAAAAAGCCGGTCACGTTTTATAATCGCGTATTTAGTTGACGATTACCGAGAGTAGTCATCGTCGTTTTACCATTGCCGAAGTGTCCTTTCTAGTTGGCCTGTTATCCTTTTGCTGTGCAGGTGTTTTCCACACATCGTCATTGTGAAGAAAGTAGTCAGTCGCCTTGCATATCTTATTTGGATTTGTTGTGTGCAAAAAAACAAAAACGAACACGCAAGGACCAACAGTCAACAGTTGCGAAAATTATTTTTGGGCAAAACAGTCGTTACTTTAAGCCAGTATTTGTGTCGTGTGTGCTAAAACAGAAGTAGAAAATTTCAAGATTTGCGGTTTTCAGTCTATTCTAACAATTGGATTAGCTGAATTGTATGGATTATTATTAGTAATCGTCAAAAGCAGGTAAGTTCATAGAAAAAATATTTTTATTTTTCTAATTAACAATGGTGAGCTAAATTATTTCGCTTGAGGAAGTTGTAAAATCGACAACAAAATTCTAAGAAAAGAAACAAATTTGAAAAATGTAAGATAATGTTGTGTCATTTAGGATGTTCTAATTATTCCATGGATAACAGTATATTAATAATAAAAGGTTGTAACCGATGCTCAATTTTGACGAATTTCATAACTAGGGGAATAAGTCCTCCTCTAAACAGAGGCCCAAATAGGTTACACCGTTTTTAATTTTGCTTAAATTTCAGATTCAAAGATCATATAGCCAATTTCTTGTGTCTTGTGTCAGATAACAAAATATTGCAAAATGTGAGGAAATATTGCAAATGTGATTTTTTAAGGATGATACATTTAACTGACAAAAAGCTTTTTGAGGTCTTTTGACACATATAACTTTACGAATGTTGATTCTTAAGTGCTCAAGAGGTTGAGGGTTTATCTGCATAAACAAGATCTTACGCTAAGTCCCATAAAGAATTTAATGGCGTCAAATCACATGATTTATATCGTCACGACGAAAAATCAC